TGATTGGGAGTTGAGAATCACAACCACCCCATTCCATGATTTGGTACTAGTTTTCTCTTTTTTATATATTAAATCTTCAGTTGTCACTGACAAAAAAACGTACGTGAAACCTGAATATCTGTTGGGTTCTGTTGATGAACTTGCTAAACTTGATTTTGTTTCCATAGTTATCTCTGTTCATGGCATAATGTAAACAGAGATAGTCATAGTTTGGCAGGTACACGATACCTTCTGATTGGGAGTTGAGAATTACAACCACCCCATTCCATGATTTGGTACTAGTTTTCTCTTTCCTATTTATTAAATCTTCAATTGTTACTGACAAAAAAACGTACGTAAAACCTGAAGGTCTGTTCGGTTCTGTTGCTAAACTTGCTAAACTTGATTTTGTTCCCATAGTTGTCTCTGTTCATGGCATAATGTAAACAGAGATAGTCATAGTTTGGCAGATAGAGCAAACATATACGAATTCTTATATATGATTGGGAGTACAGAGTTGAGAAGTTCGCCTCATTCCACAAATGGGTTCTAGTGTTCTCTCTCTATACCCAATAATTATTGATCAACACTTCCAAATCTGGTGTTGTAACTGACAGAAAATCGTACGTAACAACATTCGGATTGGGTTAAGACCGTAAAGAAATAAAACATCTAACCCATGCTCTAATAATTGGTATATCTGAATGCGAAACAGCCTATTGGGTCCGCAGGAAACCTCTACAATCGATCACATACACAGCAGAAACCGTCTCAATGATTCCTATTTTCCATTGAAGCGCGGAAAAACTGCTAGGACGTGATTTTACGACAGTGCATTCATGAATTATGTAGAACACGTGGTCCTGTCCGGGGAAAATGAAGGAAAGTTTTGACGTACGTTGGCTGCATTCGTCGTCAAAAGAAACTGGGTGGATTATCTCGATTGGCTTCAACGTTTTATGAATGATGAATGGATGAGTGCAGACTTTCGAAACTTTCTTGACGTAATTTGATTCAGTATATAAATTGCGACTTTTTTTCGAGGGTATCGAAAATGGTATAGTATATTGTTTAACGAGCACGGAACGATGGTGATTTCCTACAAGAATGAAGTTTGCAGCATGAGCCATACTGCAATCATTCGAGTAGGAAATTAGCATTTATACACTATAATTTTTTTGAGGGGACCAGAAATGGAAAATACCGAATTTCAATATTTTATGTGAATGAGAGACTTCGGAATTTCCAAATTAGAACGACGAAAGTTGATAGAGAGTAGAAATCTCGACTCATAAGCGTGCATGTTAATTTATGAGGGGGTCAGGAATATGGGAATCCGAATTTCACAATCTCCACGTATATAAGGTGTTTATTTCGTGAGGGGATCAAATATGAAGATATTATGAATTTCTTAATCAAACCTTGAAAATAATCATGAAAAACAAAAGAATGTTGGTGTGTCTACGCCTTTGACGAGAAAATGGATAGAGAAAGATTGAAATTGTGTTATTTCAACGATATAAGTTGGTAGATGGAAGAAATCGCGACTCTAGAGGCGTGCATATTTTTTTATGAAGGGTAAAAGGATAGAAAATCACAATTGCCAAAATTTTAACGACATTCGTTGATAAAGAATGAGAATCTCTACTCATAAGCGTGCTTTTACTTTTACTGATGAGGGGGTGGAAATGGAAAAATCCAAATTCCGCAACTTTCTCGAAGTGAGAGCACAGGGGCGTGCTATTTTTTTGTGAGGGGGTCAAAAATGAAAAGAATTTATTATCCAAAATTTCATGATTCTACCTTGAAAAAATCACGAAAAACAACAGAATATGGTCTTATACAAGTAAGTCAGTAGAAAATAATCATCATAGGCGTCTATATTTCCGTATGAAGAGTTCAAGAATGACCGAATTTCCAAATCTTCACCATGTACCTGTATATCTTACGTTGATGAAGAACGAAAATCTTGACTCATAAACGTGCATACTTTTATTCTGAGGGGGTCAAGAATGTAAAAATTCCAAATTTGCAATTGGCAGGCTTGCATATTTTTTTGTAAAGGGTTCGAGGATAGAAAGTCAGAATTTCCAAATTCTCGACTCATAAGCGTGCATATTTTTCTCTGAGGGGTCAACACAGAGGCGTGCATATTTTTTTGTGAGGGGGTCAAAAATGGAAAAATCCTCAATTTCGTAATTCATCCATGGAAGAAGTTTAGGAAAACAACAGAATGTTGCCTCATACGAAGCAGTCAGTTGGCAATGATCATCAGGGGCGGAGAATGAAAAATCCGAATTTTCAAATTCCTACCATTTTCTACCTAGGTATACTTAGGTTGATAAAGAACGAAAATTTTGACTCATAAACGTGCATATTTTCATTCTGAGGGGGTCAGAAATGTGGAAATTTGAAATTTGCAATCCAGAGGCGTGCATATATTTTTTTGAGGGTGTCAAAAATAGAAATAACTTTCCAAAATTTCGTGATTTAACCTTGAGAATATCACCAAAAACAACAGAATGTTGCCTTATACAAGGGAGTCAGTGGAAAATAATCATCAGAGGCGTCTATATAGTTCCGTGTGAAGGGTTCAAGAATGACCGAATTCCCAAATATTTACCATGTACCTATATGTACTTACGCTGATGAAGAACGAAAATCTTTACTCATGAACTTGCATATTTTCATTCTGAGGGGGTTAGAAACAGAAAAATTCGAAATTTGTAATTGGGGAGACTGCATATTTTTTTGTAAAGGGTTCAAAGATAGAAAATCAGAATTTTTAAATGTTAATGAAATACGCTAATAAATAATGAGAATCTCGCCTCATAAGCTTGCATATTTTTCTCTGAGGGTGTCAGAAAAAGAAAAATCCGACTTCCGAAACTGTCTTGACCTAAGATGAAAAATACAAATTGTCATCTAGCACAGAGGTGTGCATATTTTTTTGTGAGGGGGTCAAAAGTGTGAAAATACTCAATTTCGTAATTTAACCTTGAAAAAATCTAGAAAAACAACAGATTTTTGCCTTACACGAAGCAGTCAGTTGAAAACGATCATCAGAGGCGTGTATATTTTTTCTGTGAAGGGTTCAAGAATGAAAAATCCGATTTTCCAAGCTCTTACCATATCCTTCCTACGTACTTAGGCTGATGGAGAACAAAGGTCTTGACTCATAAACGTGCATTTTTCATTCTAAGGGGGTCAGAAATGGAAAAATTCGAAATTCAATATTCAGAGGCGTGCATATGTTTTGTGAAGGGGTCAGAAATGGAAAAATCCGAATCCCGTAACTTTCTCGACGTAAGATGAAAAATGAAAATTGTCATCTAGCACAGAGGCGTGCATATTTTTTTGTGAGGGTGCCAAAAGTGTGAAAATCCTCAATTTCGTAATTCTAAGTTGAAAAAATCTAGAAAAACAACAGATTGTTGCCTAACACGAAGCAGTCAGTTGAAAACGATCATCAGAGGCGTGCATATTTTTTTCGTGAAGGGTTCAAGAATGAAAAATCGGAATTTTCAAACTCTTAATACTTAGGCTGACGGAGAACGAAAGTCTTGACTCATAAACGTGCATATTTTCATTCTTAGGGGGTCAGAAATGGAAAAATTCGAAATTCAATATTCAGAGGCGTGCATATGTTTTGTGAGGGGGTCAGAAATGGAAAAATCCGAATCCCGTAACTTTCTCGACGTAAGATGAAAAATGAAAATTGTCATCTAGCACAGAGGCGTGCATATTTTTTTGCGAGGGTGCCAAAAGTGTGAAAATCCTCAATTTCGTAATTCTAAGTTGAAAAAATCTAGAAAAACAACAGATTGTTGCCTAACACGAAGCAGTCAGTTGAAAACGATCATCAGAGGCGTGCATATTTCTTTCGTGAAGGGTTCAAGAATGAAAAATCGGAATTTCCAAACTCTTATCATATCCTTATTACGTACTTAGGCTGATGGAGAACAAAAGTCTCGACTCATAAACGAGCATATTTTCATTCTAAGGGGGTCAGAAATGGAAAAATTCGAAATTCAATATTCAGAGGCGTGCATATGTTTTGTGAGGGGGTCAGAAATGGAAAAATCCGAATCCCGTAACTTTCTCGACGTAAGATGAAAAATGAAAATTGTCATCTAGCACAGAGGCGTGCATATTTTTTTGTGAGGGTGCCAAAAGTGTGAAAATCCTCAATTTCGTAATTCTAAGTTGAAAAAATCTAGAAAAACAACAGATTGTTGCCTAACACGAAGCAGTCAGTTGAAAACGATCATCAGAGGCGTGCATATTTTTTTCGTGAAGGGTTCAAGAATGAAAAATCGGAATTTCCAAACTCTTATCATATCCTTATTACGTACTTAGGCTGATGGAGAACAGAATTCTTGACTCATAAACGTGCATATTTTCCTTCTAAGGGGGTCAGAAATGGAAAAATTCGAAATTCAATATTCACAGGCGTGCATATGTTTTGTGAGGGGGTCAGAAATGGAAATATCCGAATCCCGTTATTTTCTTGACGTGAGATAAAAAATGAAAGTTTTCATCGAGCACAGAGGCGTGCATATTTTTTGTGAGGGGGTCAAAAGTGTGAAAATACTCAATTTCGTAATTCAACCTTGAAAAAATCTAGGAAAACAACAGGTTGTTGCCTAACACGGAGCAGTCAGTTGAAAACGATCATCAGAGGCGTGTATATTTTTTCTGTGAAGGGTTCAAGAATGAAAAATCCGAATTTTCAAACTCTTACCATATCCTTCCTACGTACTTAGGCTGATGGAGAACAAAGGTCTTGACTCATAAACGTGCATATTTTCATTCTAAGGGGGTCAGAAATGGAAAAATACAAAATTCAATATTCAGAGGCGTGCATATTTTTTTGTGAGGGGGTCAAAAATGTAGAAATTCTTAATTTCATATAGAAATGTTGGTGTATCCACGCCTTCTTCAGGAGCAAAATCGCATTACGGTTGCCATCATCGTCTCGCCTCTTCATCGGACCTTGTACTGACCTCTTCGTCACCTACCTCGGACTTCTTGTTCTTGTCGCCGCCTCCGACCTGTAGGGTATCGTCAGGCGGCAGCCGCCACTCGTTCCTGTCCGCGTGCACATTGGCGTGCATGCCGCTAGACGGGCCTCAGCCGCCCCCCCTGCACCGCCGCCACTGTCTGCCGCCTCTTCCGGCGCCGCCACCGTCTCGGATCGGTCGGGCCTCCCACGGTGAAAGTCGATGGGGTGCGGATCTGGAACGTAAGTGGGCTCGTTAGTTTTTCACTATGTCGAACTAGAGTTCCTAAATGTACAGTGTGTCCAGTTTTCGATGCTTTTGCCTGATATCTCAGTTATCTTTGGAGATAGAACCTTGCGGTTTTCGCGGTCCTGTGCCACTTTTTTGTGAAACTCAAGAAGGCCTAATCAGATTTTGCAAGACTGTCTCCGTTTATGAGATACAGGGCGATTTTGAAAATTTATACTTTTTGGACCCCCTCCATATCCACGAAGTTTCTCAACAAAAATGTCAAATCAAAATCTTATCGTATAGAGAATTTCACGCATGATCCAGTGGCGCACTTAAATTTTTTTTTCGGGGTATGGTTTTGGAGATACGACTCAAACTTATGATTTTTTAAATGGAACACCCTGTATTTCATAAGCTCATTAGATTCCTTATTTTTCTGTCTTCAAAATGATATATAACGAATGAATATGAAATTTTCAAAATTGCTCAAAATCACTAAAATATTGAATTTTGATAGTTGGTTATGGATTTTTCTTATGAAAAACGTTCCAATTGAAGAAATATTTCTTCAAATTTTTCCATGGAGAGGTCAAAACCAATATCAACACTTATTAATTAACAAAACACTAAACTTGGGTACCTGATAGCAACAAATAAATAGTAATAAAAAGTTCATAATGTAGAATAAGCACCTGATTGAATATTTACTAAAATAATTGAATTCCGGAATTATTCAGTAACTATATTCATTGACATGTTCAAATTGATATCCATTTTACCCAACATACAGTTGACAAACTTTCTCAATACTACAGTGAGTGGCCCAACATACTTGAAGAACTTTGTGCAACAACAGAGGCAGTTTTCCAGGAATTACAAAGACATCTTTCAATGATCAATATGTATTGAGAAAGTTTGTGATGAAAAATGGAGATCAATTTGAACAATTCAATGAATAAATCACTGGATAATTTCGATATTCAATTGTTTTATTAAATATTCAATCAGGTGCTTATTCTACATTATAAACTTTTCATTACTATATATTTGTGGATATCAGGTATCTAAGTCTTGTGTATTGCAAGATAATTAGTGTCGAAATTGTTATTTTACCCTTCATGAAACAATCAAAGGAAATATTCCTTCAATTGTAAATTTCTTTACATGAAAATCCCTCGAAAAACCCATAGCCCACTATTAAAATTCAATGTTTTAGTGATTTTTTAACATTTTTGAAGATGTTATATTCATACATCATATATCATTTCGAAGGGAGAAAAATAAGGAATTCAATGAGCCTATAAAATACAGGGTGTTCAATCTAAAAAATCATAAGTTTGAGTCGTATTTTCAAAACCACACCCCGAAAAAAAATTTTTTGTGCGCCACTGGATTCTGCATAAAATTCTCTATGGGTCAAGATTTTGATTTGACATTTTCGCTGATAAACTTCGTAGATATAGAGGGGGTCCAAAAAGTATAAATTTTCAAAATCGCCCTGTATCTCATAAACGGAAACAGTCCTGCAAAATCTGATTAGGTCATCTTGAGTTTCACAAAAAAGTGGCACAGGACCGCGAAAACTGCAAGGTTTTATCTCCAAAGATAACTGAGATATCATGCAAAAGCATCGAAAACTGGACACACTGTACTTGACACTGCTGCTTTGACGTTTTTTGTATATTATAGAGTACGGACACTAGACAAGCAGTGACAATCAAACATAACCACAAACGATTTTGAAGCAAATCATATGTTTTGCCTGACAAGGACAAGAAAATGTTTTTAAAGGATCCTCGCATCTTCCTTTCTCCACAAGTCCTGGGAAGAGTACATCCATATATCTTTCTCTGTCTTTGATTTTTGTATGAGAGTGCATTGCGTCTCCTCGAGTGGGTAAAAGGATACGATAAATTGATTAGAAAATTATTTCTTCTCGAAATATTGAATGATAAGGCTGAAGGACCTCAATGGAGGTCGATTTCAAGTTGGTAGGTACATAATTATATACCATCGAAATACATATACTATTCCTATGAAATAAGTCTCTTATATTTAGGTATATACAGGGTGGGCCACCAGTAACGCCTCGGTCTCTAGAAGGCTAACCACTTATCTTCTTGGAATTCTTCCTCTCTAGGAAGTTGCATGTCAACATAGGCTACCATTTAAAATTATTTCGAAACATACAGGGTGTGAGAAATCGAGATTTTCCAAATTCAAGAATTTTTTGTCTCTAAACCATTCATAATTGGTGAAAACGGCTCACATGTCCCCATCTCAACTTTTGATCAACTATCTACTGACATTCAATTGAAACAAATAAAGGGTGGTGCAGAATTCAGAATCTTGATCACCCGCTGTATATGTCCCAATTAAATATCAGTAGATAGTTAATCAAAAGTTGAGATAGGGACATGTAAGCCGTTTTGACCAATTATGAATAGTTTCGACACAAAAAATTCTTGAACTTGGAAAATCTCGATTTTTCACACCCTATATTTCAGTAATTATAACTGCTAGACCCCAAGTATGATGGGTCGTTGAAATCAGCTCATCAGGGAGAATCTCAGAATGAAATAATATATAGGGTGTTCGATAGAAAAAAGTTTAACTTCAGTGTTTTGTGGTTTTTGGGGACACCCTGTATGTTTCGAAATAATTTCAAATGGTGGCCTATGTAGACATGCAACTTCCTAGAGAGAAAGAATTCCAAGAAGATAAGTGGTTAGCCTTCTAGAGACCGAGGCGTTACTGGTGGCCCACCCTGTATATGTATACATTCAGTTGAACATTTTTTCATCACAAAAATTCAGAATGGGGTGAGAACTGATAAGTTTCAACCAATGAAACATACTTTTATCGGTTTTGTTTGAGTTAGAATTGATCTCATTGTATTTTCATCAGTTTGGAACACTGTTTTCACTTGGAACTTATTTTTTACGTTTTATTTTTTCAGATATGCCGGGAATATACGGTATTAAATTCGTCGTTATTGATGGTTATTTCTGTTGTAGCGTATTTTATTCGGATTCCAGGGCTGTGCTAACCAACGAAATTGAAGAGAATAAATGAGTATATTTTTGCACTAGTGCAACTTTCGGAAATAAAACAATAAAATGCATGCGGCAGTATGCACAGTCGTATTTTATATTGATTTGTTTTAATCTCATCCTGAATTCCCCTCTGAACTAACTTCCTGTTTTCTACTGACGTCAGAATATCTTGTTTACTATATCACCAGTAGTCGTAAAAAATGATGTATAGAAAAAATCATCACAAACTCAGTTCGTTCTCCTCGTTTTTCCTTCGAAATGGGAAAACTCAGCTCAAACGGGATTGTATCCTTATTGATCCCAAACATGCCGAACTGAAATAAAATCTTGCAATTCCAAGGATAATATTCAGATTGAAATGCTTTCTCTGGACTTTTTATGCATTTGATGAAGTTTTTTTGCTGCGAGATTCAACAAGTTTTTCTTCTTTTATTCGCTATTTTCCACATCAATGAGTGTTTCTTAAAAGTAAAGAACAAATTGATAAATTCGTATAGTTATAATCATATCATCAGGTTGTGGCTCGTTCGACGAAACTTCCAAAATAAAACTGTGAAGCTGTGAACATGGCCAACTATGCAGAGCAATAGCTCACGTGATTATGATCCCTCACAAGTGGAATTGCTATACGAATAATTCATTTCTAGACCCGTCTCATATACAGTGTGTCCCGAAATTAGCCTGCCAAACTTCACCAGCAGCTTCTGCGACCAAAATTTGGAAGGGATCCAATAACTTGGTAGATTTCAATGCAAACAAAACACAAGCATGCCTTTTCTCTAGAAAAGCCGATCTCACTGTGCCCAACATAAGCTTGTAGACATCCATTTCGATGCTTGAAAAAATCACGTGAGATCATTTGCTAAAAGTGAATCCCAAAAACTTGGTTTTCTGTTTCGTGCCAGGAGCTATTTCACTTCCAGTCAGCTGCTTATGATCTACAAGGCACAGATCCGACCTGTCCTGGAATACTGTTCCATATTTGGAGTGCAGCACCCAAACATACCCTGAAACTGTTGGCACAAACTCACTCACTTCTCTGGATCACCGTAGAAAAGTTGGCGATCTGGCTCTATTTTATAGATATTTTCATGGACGATGCTCTTCTGAAATATCAACAATTATTCCTCCCTTGGCAGTCCCCGCGAGATTAACCCGTCGAGTTGAGGCTTCGCACCCCTTCGTGGTCACTTTGGAGACCTGCAGAACATCTCTTTCCAAAGACTCGTTCATCCAACAAGGGAGGTGTTCTCTGAGGCATATAACCTCCAGAAATTCAAGAAGAACACCAATTCCTACCTTATTTTCCTTGGCTCGCACAATGTTCTCTGAACATTACAGGATATCCCTTTTCGTGGGAACCAGAACATAAAAAAAATGAGACGAAACATGAAATTAAATCATTCCATAATTTCATTCAGGAGTGTATCATACAGGGTTGGACTACATTGAATATTGCTCAAACTTTTTTGTATGCATATTTTTTGACAATTCAATCTCGAAGTTTGAAAATCGATCAGATGAATCGTTTTCGAGTGAAATCGACTCAAAAATATTGTTACATCTCACATTTTGTGCATACCATTGCAATAAATCGTAGTAGATATGGAAAAAATGAAGCACAAAAATTGAAGCAGTTTTTTATCATCATTTTCCTATCCCACGCGCCTCTATGAAATTGTTGTTGTTGTTGATTTTTTTAAAGCCATTATAATTTGAAAATTTGCAACGTTATGCATGAAATGATACATCTGATCGAACAGAACAAGAGCACCTATTTTCTGTGACGAGGTATCCCTTGTTGATAATCAGAGATTAAATTGTCGAAAAATATGTATACAAAAAAGTTTCAGCAATATTTAATGTAGTCCCACCCTGTATTATACATTCCTGAATGAAATCCTGAGATAATTTTATTTTCACTGCATTGGGCATGGCGTTTCGGAAATA